GACCCGACCCACAACGTGCGAAACGCGCGAACGCATGCAACGATCGATTATTGCAGTACGTACTTATTCTTGCCGGCAGCTGCAGTAAATCTGTAAAGAGGGGAATCTCGTTACCGCTGATATTGTTTCAGCTCTGCTGCAAGAGCTGGCGTTCGCCAATGCGAATGTGAACCCTCCCAGTCCCCCGGAGGTAGCGCCACCTGGACCCGTCCCGACAACAGCGCCACCTACGATATCGCCACCGGCGCCGCCACCCACAGAGGCGCCGAGCCAGGGCAACGTCCAGGCCTCGAGTACGTGTGAGGCGCGCAGCTACGGCTGTGCCACGGTAACTCGTGTGTGGGTGAAGTAAGGCATGCTGACGCAAAAAGTGCGAAAGAGCTGAATAGTCTCGCACAGACCGAGCCGTGCTCGACGCCATTCAAGGAGCCCCCGTCCCCCCTCCCACCCAGACATCACAGCTTTTCGTCCTCGGGGACATCCGTCCTCTGTCTTCGCAACACCAAACTGAGCGCATAAGGAATGGGCCGACGCTACCGGACTGGAGAACCCACGCATCACCTCGTGCAGAGGACCCCCTCCGTCCTCAACCCGCACCAGCATGCCCCCACCGCCCACGCGTTGCCCTGACTCGCACCAGCCCTGAACCGGCACCAGCCCTGGCCGGCACCATCCCACACCAGACGCCTAACCGGACGCCCTTCGCGCGGCAGACATCCGCTGCTTGCAGAGCACCTCTCGGGAGCAGCTGACGGCGCGCCTGCGCCTGCGCCGTCCGCTGGTGGCGCCACCTGTGCTGGCGCTGCGGCCGGCTGTCAACCCGCTGACGTCATCGGTGTGCACGCTGACGTCGGCGGAGGAGGACCGGCTGCTGACGCTGAGTGTCACCAACCTGGAGGCCTGCGGCGTGGAGAGCTGCGTCCAGCCCAGCGGCGAGGTAAGAGTGACTCTGCCGGCACCGTCGATCCCCGTATGAGGCGTCATTGGCAGGGGGCAGTGAGCCGCTGCCTCATCGGCGGCTGAGGGAAGGCTGCTTGTATCTGCGCCAGATCCACAGCAGCAGCTGTTGTCGCGGACGGTTGTCGTGGTGGCTGCTGTGTTGGTGTGACCGGCGGAGTCCGCCCGCGTCAGCCGACTGTTTTGACGACGTCGCTGCTGCCGACAGCGCTGGCTCTGCCTGACAATCCGGTTCCCGGTGATCGCCGGGATTCGACTGCCCGAGGATGACGTAATCCAGATCCAGTGCCGGCCTCAGGACCCCACGCAGACCCGCGGCAAACAGCTGGCCGTCCCGACCGTCGGGTGAGGCGGCGGCGACGTCATACTGACGTCACATCTGCTGTGTCTGCTGTGTGGGATGGCCCGAGCCTGCTGTCTCCTGTGTGACATCCGCTGTAATGGCGGCACGCTGTTCCACACGTGCTGTCTGCCGCATCTGCCTGGCCGGCGGACGGCGCGCTGTGTCTGTGCTATCCGCCGTGTTGACGCTGTCTGCTGGTGTCTGCCGTGCCGACATGTCACGTGTCTGCAACACTCACTGAGGTATCCGCCACACTGACACCGCGCGGTGCCTGCCACGTCGGCCAGCCTCGAGCTGCAGTCGCCGGCCCTGTTCAGCGGCGGCGAGCAGCAGTTTGAGTGCGAGATCGCCCTGTTCCGGCGTACGCCCGGCACCGGCATCTTCTCCACCGTGGTGCAGGCCGGCGACGCCGTCACGCTCGGGGAGGAGCTCCACCTGCGGGCCATTATCCGCAGCGACGATGGTCAGTGCCGATCACGCGGACCCGGCGTTACCCAGGACACACAGACCGGGTGTTACCCCGGACACACAGACCGGGTGTTACCCAGGACACACAGGCCGGGTGTTACCCCGGACACACGGACCACCTGTTGTCGTTTATGACCCTAATGAATAGTGGAGATGGCAAGGGCAGTAAGGGTGGGTGTGGCTTGCGCCGAATGCTGGCATGTATATATTCTATGTATACACTAGATAGAAAGAGAGAGAGAGAGAGAGAGAGAGAGAGAGAGAGAGAGAGAGAGAGAGAGAGAGAGAGAGAGAGAGAGAGAGAGAGAGAGATATATATATATATATATATATATATATATATATATATATATATATATTTACCTGCTCCGCAAGGTGCTTAAGAGGGCTACCCTCCTGCCCCGAACCTGTGAGGTGTCCAGTGAAGGAGTGGACACGCCCCCATCCACCCCGAGCCCGTGCATGTCTCAGCTACTGGTGGCCGCACCTGTCGTGACCTGACCTGACCTGACCTGACCCCGTGACCTTGCCGTGCCGGCAGGCTGGAGGTTCAGCCGCCTGACGGACGTGCTTCTGCAGCGTGTGACCGCCGACGGCGTGGCCCAGACGGCCGACAGCGTATCTCTCGTCCTCAGCAGCGGCTGTCGCAACCCGGAGTTCAAGGTACCGCCGCCAGGGGCGCTCGTAGTTTCGTCGGGGTCCCGCGGCACGTCCAAAATGGTGTCCATGGTCAGATGCGACGCGCGGTGTGGATTTAACGTTGACATTTAGCGTTCGCGACGCACGTTAACGGCTTAACTTTAACGATTTAGCGTGAACGATTTAACGTTAACGATTTAGCTTTGACGATTTGACTTCAACAATTTAACGTTTAACGGCGTCTAACGTTCACCGGCACACCACGCCATGGGCGGTGGTCTGATGCGTTGTCGGTGGTTTCCTGTTCCGCCGGCAGCTCTGCCTGGGTGCTGTTGGCCCCGCTGTTCCCCTGCTGCCGTCCGCCAGCAGCTCTGCCTGGGTGCTGTTGACCCCGCTGTTCCCCTGCCGCCGTCCGCCGACAGCTCTGCCTGAGTGTTGTTGACCCCGCTGTTCTGTCGCCGTCCGCCGGCAGCTCTGCCTGGGTGCTGTATACCCCGCTGTTCCCCTGCTGCCGTCCGCCAGCAGCTCTGCCTGGGTGCTGTTGACCCCGCTGTTCCCCTGCCGCTGTCCGCCGGCAGCTCTGCCCGAGTGCTGTTGACCCCGCTGTTCTGTCGCCGTTCGCCGGCAGCTCTGCCTGGGTGCTGTTGACCCCGCTGTTCTGCCGCCGTCCGCCGGCAGCTCTGCCTGAGTGCTGTTGACCCCGCTGTTCCCCTGCCGCCGTCCGCCGGCAGCTCTGCCTGGGTGCTGTTGACCCGCTGTTCCCCGCCGCTGTCCCGACGCCAGCTCTGCCTGGGCGCTGTTGACCCCGCTGTTCCCCTGCCGCCGTCCGCCGGCAGCTCTGCCTGAGAACTGTTGACCCGCTGTTCTGCCGCTGTCCGGCGGCAGCTCTGCCTGAGAACTGTTGACCCGCAGTTCTCCTGCCGCCGTCCCGACGCCGTGGCACCAGCGCCGCTGACCGCTCTCATTTCAGATCGTGGCGCCGGCCCAGCCGACTCGCCACCAGCAGAACCAGCTGATCAGCAACTTCGCCTTCCGCGTGTTCGCCTTCCAGGGCATGGGGTCCGGGGACCGGCTGCAGGTGTCGGCCGGCGTCACAGGCTGCGTCGAGGCCATCGACTGTGCCCCGGTGCGGAGGGGGGGGGGGGGGTGCTCCTCCTGGAGCGGAGGGGAGGAGAGGGTGCCCCACGCAATGAAGGGTGGAGAGTGCTGAGTGGCAAAGCTGGAAAAGCTGTCGGAAAACCTCCAGACGAGGTGCTTTTCCACTGGAAAATCGTGGTCGTAAGCATTTCAGTGAAAGCTATGGTGGCCGTCGCGGTGCAGTATTCTCCACCCATGCACACAACGCAGTGCAAGGTACATTCTGCGTTTGGTGTGTCAACCACACTCGTGCTGATCTTACCTCAGCCGACGTCCATGAATATTGACCAAACTGGTCGGAGCGATCTGTGGGGAGATGCTGGAGCTGGCCGACCCTCTCCATGTGCCCAGCTTGGCATACGTGGACGCTGATGTGCGACGATTCAGCCCTCTTACCACAGACAGACGTGGGTGTTGTCTGACCTGATCAACCTGTCATGACCTGACCTGACCTGACGTAACCCGACCTGCCTTAACATGACCTGACCAACCTGAGCTAACCTGATCTAACCTGACTTGACCTAACCTGACCTTACCTGACCTGGCCTGATCTGACCAACCTGACCTAACCTGACCTGACCTGACCTGACCTGACCGATGCCCTCAGACGGCCTGTCCGGACGGAGGGCAGGGCTACGGGCGCCGCCGCCGCCGTGAGGCCCGGGTCAGCAACAGCACCGACTGGCGGCGTGACCTGGCCTTCAGCGTGCTGTTGCCGGACGTCCCACCAGGTCAGTGTCCGCCGCCGCGACCAGGCCCACCCCGGGTATGGTCCGAACCTGTGACGTCACGGCCGGTGGCCGGCTATCACCTTGAACGATACGGCGAGGCATGGTGCTCGATCCGTGAGACGTTCTGCGCGGTTAGACACCGTATCGCAAATTTTCTGTTCCCATAAGGGGAAGGATTCAGGAAACAATAAATCATTGAAAACGTACAAGGATCTTTGATATGGCCGGGAGACAGAGAAGGTGATGAGATCTTTTTACGGTTAGGATGTCGTGTCTATCAGCGATTAGATGACTTAGGAATAACCACATGAGGAGTGGTGATGTGATGTCAGAGATAAGCGACGTCACGTATGCGCCAGGTCACATGACGAGGGCCTCACGGGCCGCGTGATATCTGTGACGTCTGTGGTGACTCCGTGACGGGTGTCGTGACGCGGCCGGCCGTGTTCCAGTGCGCCCGCAGCTGCCACCGCCGATGCCGCCGCCGCCGCCGCCGCCGGCCGCCGGCTGCCCCGCCTTCCTGCTGGGATCACTGATCGCCGCGCTGGCCTGCTGCTGCTGCTCGGCTGCTTCGTCTGCGTGCTGAACGTGCGTCGACGCCAGCAGCTGAAGTCGCCGCCAGTCCCGCAAACCGATTATCAGTTGATGGCATCCCGGCTGGAGCCGCGCCACGGCTGCGAGGGCGGAACCGTCGCGCATCTCCAGTGTGCCTGGTCGCCGACAGATGGCTCCGCCGGCTGCGTGGGGCGAGCGGGCTGGCTGCCGGCAGTTGGGCCGGTGGAGCGAGCGGTCACGGCGCCGCGCGGACGCTGCACCGCGCGCCAGCTGAAACGCCGCCGCGCGGACGTGCGCCGAAGCTTCAGTGCCGGCAGTCTCCGCTGCGCCTGCGCGCCACGTCGTGATGGTGACGCGATCGTGACGAATTCGAACGTCAGCATTGTCAGAGTGCCCGCGAAGGAGAATATTTACTCTGAGCCGGCTTCCAAGTGTGATGTGGCCCCCACAATGGTTTAAGAGACAGTAACCGGACCACACAAACTTCGCAGCCCTGCATTTGCCCCAGCGAAAAAAGCAGTGATGTGGACATTGCTGCGCGCCGCTCAGGAATAACTGAAATGAATAATCGTCCAGACGGACCAATGCGTGCAAGCAACGACGGCCCGCTGAATCAGGTTTGGCGGTGTCAGCGAGGCCGTTAATTGACTAACACTAACGAAATACATCACACTTGGCCCTTGATCGTCTGTTCTTTCCGCTGGGTCTCCGCTTTAGCCGCCCTGTGGTAAAAATACGCGTGGATGATGCTGTGAACTGAGAGTTCCGGTCGCAAATCTCCGGGCGCGATTCCTTATGTGACCTACAGCCAGCTCTTTAAGCCCCTATGCCCTCAAATCGGGTCCTTGATCGTCGGTCCTGGTGGGCCCTCCAAGCTTTCCGGGCCTCCTCGAACACCGCCCTTTTTCGACTCGGGGTCCCTGCGAACACACCTCATGTGGAGCACTGTGGGCCCCTGATAGATGCGGGGGGGTACCGGCCAGTGTAAAACGCTTGACTCGGCTTTTTCCTGCTTGGTAAATGAACCTTCAGGTGTATGCCGCCACGGAGCCAACTGTGCGCTACTGGCGGTACCTGACCGACATATAGGACCTAATCAACTCAGGGGCAA